TAAATAATCAAATTTTAAATGATATTGTAAATTGTTTAAAAGTGAAGTAGGATAAAAGTTATACTTGTTAAAATTGGAGATTTTTGTTGAATAATAGAAAGTATTTGTTTTTTAGATCAAGATACAACCCACCTCCAAAGTAGGTCGCTATATAATTCATTAAAACAATTTTCATTAATTGTATGATCTAAAAATAAATAGAATAAGTTTCTATTTTTATATTGAATTAAATACATGTAAGACATTTCATACTTGACATTTTAAATAGTCTATAAATTTCAAGATATCAGATAAAGCAAATCCTTCAAGTATCAAATTACTAATTAACATCCTTAAATATTAAAGATAGTATTTTCTTAATTACAGCTATCATTTAATCCTTACTAATAAAAATTAGATCGTACCATCTATGGGAAGGCTCTACCAATATCAAAAACAAAAATACCTTTTGTATAAATCACGTATATTATCACACCATTTTTGATGGAGCGTAAACAATAAGATTACCAGTGATACTCTCTATCATTTATGATTAGAGACTTTATTCAACCACTACAATTGACCTTTTTGAAAGTACATCTTCACTATCTTTTAAGTGTTATGAAATGCCTAACACCCTCAAAGCTGAAGATCATTCCATTAATATAAAGAAACATTTACTATTCTAAATACATATACTATCGCATTGTACCGATATAAAAATCTTGGATGTCTCCATACCTCTATCTCTTCTTACTACTTACTTGACCCCTAAAGAAAGTACATTTTCATACTTTTTTTCAATACCTAGAAATTACTTATCACCCCATTACAAAATTAGAATCAATTTCCTTCCTATAGTTTTATCGATTATTTTTCTTTAAACTAAAGGAAATAATGCTAATTCAAGCTAGATTAACTCCATAAATTACTTGATAAAATATAGATATATATCATATTTAAATTAATAGAGTTTATATAGTTAAGAATATTTATAATTGTCTCATTCCTTTAAAAAGAATATCTTAATGTTACTATAACTAGTGTTGTTGCGATGAATGGTGTTAACCATGACGTTGTTAATATTTTTATACTATAGGTATAGCCGTGCTGGGTTAAGCATCATAATTTGCAGGATGTATATACAATTTTAAGAAATTATACAAATACCATTGTTTACTGAAATAATTAGTAATTAAAAAGTGAAAACAACTATTTCATTAGCATAAACTCACTTTATAATATTTAATAGGTAATTAAGAGAATTGATTGAGAGGAAACTTTAAGCATACCTCACATTCAAACAGACCTCAAATATCAAATTTCATCTTGACAAAAATGTCATAAAATAAAGTAATTATTAATATTTTCATCTTTTTCAATATTATGTGATTCATTCTAAATTCTCCAAGATTCGAGAATTGTAAATGTTGTTTTGATTTCCCAGCTATTAATGATCAACTACAAAAGACACCTATTCTTTAAAAATTTTGATCCTCAAATATATAAATAACTTTTCAATTTTTAGTATAAAACTGAAGTTAGAGTAAAAGTTATTTAATAATTTCATTAACAAAAAGCAAATGAATTAATCTGATAAATAAAACGAAGATCTATCTGAGATTTTCGTTTAAGTTAAGGATATTGATGAACAAATATACTGCTTGATAATTGAAATACTAAGAAAAGCAAAGATTTCAGATTGCATAGGATTCCTTTCAAACATTGATAATCAAAAAAAATTAGATGAATAACTCAAGGTGCATCAGGATATAGGAATAACTAACTTTTAGAAGATGACTAACATTATCTAATATATACAAGATCATAACTTTAATAAATATAATTATTCAGAGGAAATCCACATAGACTTAAAAAAAGACCTGATAAAAAATATATCTAAATAGTAGAAGATAATCCAATTTTTTTAATTTTTAATTCGCCTCACAGCCTTTGATTAAACCTTAATATAGTGTGGGTCAAATTCATTACATTTATTAGTTGAGATGAAGGTTGAACTTGGAAACAAAAATTTTGAAAATATTAAAGTTTACAATACCTCTTTAGTGGGTGCTAATTTTGTTAGATGCAATTTAAGTGGATCGTAATTTGAAAACGTCAACATAAGTGGATTGAATTTGAATGGCGCTAAACTATTTAACTGTAAATGGAAGAACATTAAAATACAAATGTTAAATATATTAAAAGGTCATACTTAAGCAGTCGTATCAGTACGTTTTTCTCCAGATAGTTCTACATTAGCATCTTGTAGTAGAGATAAGTCTATCCGTTTATGGGATGTTAAAACAGGAGAATAAAAATCTAAATTACTTGGTCATACTGATACTGTCTATTCAGTCTGCTTTTCTCCTGATGGTAATACATTAGCATCTGGTAGTTAAGATAAGTCTATTCGTTTATGGGATGTTTAAACAAGAAAAAAAATAGCGAAATTGGTTGGTCATACTCAAGGAGTCCGTTTGATTTGTTTCTCTCCTGATGGTACTACAGTCGCATCTGGTAGTGATGATAAGTCTATCCGTTTATGGGATACTAAAACAGGAGAATAAAAATCTAAATTACTTGGTCATACTGTTACTGTCTATTCAGTCTGCTTTTCTCCAGATAGTTCTACATTAGCATCTGGTAGTTATGAGTCTATCCGTTTATGGGATACTAAAACAGGAGAATAAATATCTAAAGTAAATGGCCATTCAAGTCAAGCCTCTCCAGTTTGTTTCTCTCCTGATGGCACTATATTAGCATCTGGTAGTTATGATAGATGTATCTGGTTATGGGATGTTAAAACAGGAGAATAAATATCTAAATTAAATGGCCATTCAGGTTCTGTATCTTCAGTTTGTTTTTCTCCTGATAGTTCTACTTTAGCATCTGGGGATATTAAACACTCTATCAGGATATGGGATGTTAAAACAGGATTATAAAAATTCAAATTAAATGGGCATACTAGTTCGGTCTTTTCAGTATGTTTCTCTCCTGATGGTACTATATTAGCATCTGGTAGTTTGGATATGTCTATCCGTTTATGGGATGTTAAAATAGGGACATAAAAATTTAAATTAGATGGGCATAATAAATTGGTCAAATCAGTTTGTTTCTCTCCTGATGGTACTACATTAGCATCTGGTAGTAAAGATGAGTCTATCCGTTTATGGGATACTAAAACAGGAGAATAAAAATCTAAATTACATGGTCATACTAATGCTGTTTATTCAGTCTGTTTTTCTCTAGATAATTCTACATTAGCATCTGGTAGTGATGATAAGTCTATCCGTTTATGGGATACTAAAACAGGAGAATAAAAATCTAAATTACTTGGTCATACTAATACTATCTATTCAGTCTGCTTTTCTCCAGATAGTTCTACATTAGCATCTTGTAGTAGAGATAAGTCAATCCGTTTATGGGATGTTAAAACAGGAGAATAAAAATCTAAATTAGATGGTCATACTAGTACTGTCTATTCAGTATGTTTCTCTCCTGATGGTAATACATTAGCATCTGGTAGCGATGATATGTCTATCAGAATATGGGATGTCAAAACAGGAAAATAAAAATCCAAATGGGATGGCCATTTTTCTTATGTCAATTCAATATGTTTCTCTCCTGATGGTACTCTTTTATCATCTGGTAGTAGAGAAAAAGCTATCCGTTTATGGGATGCTAAAACAGGAAAATTAAAATTCAAATTGAATGGTCATTCAGATTGCGTCCTATCAGTCTGTTTCTCACCTGATGGTACTTTGGCATCTGGTAGCAGAGATAAGTCTATCCGTTTGTGGAATATTAAAACAGGAAAATAAAAATATAAATTGGATGGTCATTTTTCTTCTGTCAATTCTTTAAGTTTCTCTACTGATGGTAAAATATTGGCATCTGGTAGTAGTGATAAGTCTATAAGTTTGTGGGATGTTAAAACTGGCAAATAAAAATATAAATTGGATGGTCATTTTTCTTCAGTCAATTCAGTATGTTTCTCTCCTAATGGTATTAAATTAGCATCTGGTAGTGATGATAACTCTATTCATTTGTGGGATGTTAAAACAGGAATGAAACAATACTCATTAGAGGGTCATAGCTAAACAGTCCGATCAGTCTGTTTCTCACCTGATGGAGCTACATTAGTTTCTGGGGGTTAAGACCACTCTATCAGGTTATGGGATGTTAAAACAGGATTATAAAAATTCAAATTAAATGGTCATACTAGTTGGGTCTAATCAGTATGTTTCTCTCTTGATGGTACGTCATTAGCATCTGGTAGTTTGGATACGTCTATCCGTTTATGGGATGTTAAAACAGGATAATAAAAATTTTAATTATGTGGTCATACTAATGATGTCATTTCAGTCTGCTTCTCTCCTGATGGTAAAACGTTAGCATCTGGTAGTGGCAATAGAAATCCTTTAAAGTCGAGAGACAATTCCATACGTATATGGGATGCTAAAACTGGAAAATAAAAATTGATATTAGATGGGCATAATAGTTGGGTCTAATCAGTATGTTTCTCTCCTGATGGTACTTCATTAGCGTCTGGTAGCAGTGATAAATCTATCTGTCTATGGGATGTCTAAACAGGATAATAAAAAGTCAAATTAGATGGTCATAGTAGTTGGGTTTAATCAGTGTGTTTCTCTCCTGATGGTTATACATTAGCTTCTGGTAGTCATGATTAGTCTATCCGTCTATGGGATGTCAAAACAGGATAATAAAAAGCCATATTAGATGGTCATAGTAATGAAGTCATTTCAGTCTGTTTCTCTCCTGATGGTAATACATTGGCATCTGGTAGCAGTGATGACTCTATCCGTTTATGGGATGTTAAAACAACAAAAGAGATTTAATTTACAGATAATAGTTATTAAGATATGTAATCATAATTTGAAAGCAATTTTATTCGAGAAAGTTGTAAGTATTTTTAATTTTTATTTAGAAAATATCAATTTTACTATTCTCCTCATATCGAAATAATAGTTATTTTAAGCATAAGGAGCTTTAATTTATAAAGGAGAGTTTGTGAATTAATCAGGAATTGATTTAAAAGCATTATTTAAACAATTAGGAAGTATAATTTTGGATAAGTATGAAGAATTACAATAAAATTGAATAGTTGTTTATTCTAAATTACATTGCAAATATAAATAAAAAATATCAAATAATTAATAGTCTTTTCTTAAACTTTTAACGAGATTTCAACCTTTTTTCAATTTATCAACTTTAAATTTAGCAATCAAATTTGAATTAAATTAACTTATATCAATTAATTGTTAAACAAGAATATTAATTGTATATTTTTGGATTTTTTGATAAAAATTACTATTTTTAGGATGTAGCCCATAATTGCTATCTATACATATGTTAAAACAATTTTTAATATCCCAGTTTTTTTATATTTTTCTGATTTATTCTATATATATTAAAGATTAAAGTATTGAAAATGCAGAATTTTTTACCTCAATTATTATTAGTTACAAATCTTCACAAAGTTCAATCCTTTCTAAATAAATAATATACTTTTTTGATTTATTCATAATATTAAAAATGTAAAATGTTTTTAACAAAAAAGAAAATGAATTTATCTAATGAATAGAACTAAAATCTATCAAAGATTTTCGCTTAAGTTACAAAATTTGATGAAAAAATATATTTCTTGATCATTGAAATTCTGGAAAAAGAAAAAAATTCAGATTGTATAGGATTCCTTTCAAAATTTGATAATCTAAAATAATTCAACGAATTGCTCAATATTCATAAGGATCTAGGAATAAATAACATTAAGAAAATATTCAAAAGAAATCTACAAAGAATAAAACAAGATTTAATTAGAAAAATATAATATTACAAGACAATAGGATTATCCAATTTTACAATTTTTTAGTGATAACTTTTTTAATTAATTTAGAGTATAAATTTTACGACAATACTCTTATATCCCAAACATCATTATTTCAAGGGGAATTTGATTATCAAGCCTAAGAGGTATTTATTGCGAACAGAATATTTAGCCACAATAAGAAAAAAAACTCATTTTCTTGTAGGATTCTTAGAATCAAGAGGAGTGGTGGTGTGGTTTGTATGTTAAAGAATCTTATGAAAAAAATATAAAGTAAAAAAATAGAGAGAATTTTTACTATGTTTTTTGTTATTATTTTGTAGTAATAAAATCATTTTTTTTTATTTTTAACTCATTTTTTTTTAATAATTAATAATCTTCTAACTTTTGATGAATGTTTTGTTTATCTTTTAACTATTTCATACCCTTAATAAGTGAAAATTATTAATCAAATTTAACAACTTTAAAGATAAATAATATGATTTTAAAAAGAAAGATGGAAAATAAAACTATCTTTAGTCGGATCTAATCATATATATAATCCAGGAAAGAATATTTAAAGTGTGTAATTTTTTGCAATTATCATTCGAATAGTACATGTTTCCATAGTTATTTGATCTTAATTTCTTGAAAATAAATTATTATTTTTATATATAATTATCTTCATTTAGTGTGATTGATATTTATGAGAGGGCACTTCTAAATTGAATTTTAATTAATAAAACCATTTTAATCATCGTTATTCTATATACTTTTTAATTTTCCTTTAGTCTAATTAAAAGGCTCTTTATTATTCATCTTAATGTTTAAATATAGAACTACATAAAGGTTTAATTTTAAAAGATTTTCATTTTATTACCAAACTTATTATAGTATGTACTTAAAAGAGTGTCTAATTTAATTAGTTGTTTAATAAATTTTATTCAAAACTTAATTCAATAAAGAAGCTTGTTTTTGGAAATTACTGATATCATTAGTGATTCTTAATAGTTAAGAATAAATACTAAGATTGTATAATATAAGCTGTTAATCATTTATTCTATCAAGCTTAAGAAAAAGGTTAGATCCATAAAATTTATTCAATTTATCAAATAGCCTTTCATTTTGAAAAGTACTAATGCTTTAATACGAATTGTCTATTAACTTTCAATTTACATTAAAAAANTTTTCAATTTATCAACTTCAAATTTAGCAATCAAATTTGAATTAAATTAACTTATATCAATTAATTGTTTTTGTGCCAAAAATATAAAGTTCTAAAAGAATATGAATTGTAAATTTTCGAATTTTTTGATAACAATTACTATTTTTAAGAATTTAGATCAGAAATTTGGATGACCCATTATTGCTATCGACATATATGTTAAAACAATTATTAATAATCCCATTTTTTTATATTTTTCTGATTTATTCTATGTATATTATAGATTCAAGTATTGAAATGCAGAATTTATTTGTCACTAGCAGGTTTTACCTCAATTATTATTTGTATTTTAAAGAATCTTATGAAAAAATTATAAAGTCTAAAAAATAGAGAGAATTTTTTACTATGTTTCTTGTTACTATTTTGTAGTGATAAAATCATTTTTTTTTATTTTTAACACAGTTTTTTTTAATAATTTATAAACTTGTAACTTTGATGAATTTTTTGTATATCTTTCAACTATTTCATACTCTTAATAAGTGAAAATTATTAATCAAACTTAACAACTTTAAATATAAATAATATGATTTTAAAAAGAAAGATGGAAAATAAACTATCTTAAGTCAGATCTAATTATATTTATAATACAGGAAAGAACATTTCTAAGTATGTAATTTTTTTCAATTATCATTCGAATAGTAAATTTTCCTCCTTCCATAGTTATTTGATCTTAGATTCTTGAAAATACAGAAAAGTAAAATTATAGGAGTATATTTTTTTGTATTACAATTTTAAAATTATCAAACATTATATTCTAGAAATCAATTAAAGACCAATTGTAAATTATTATTTTTATATATAATTATCTTCATTTAGTGTGATTGATATTTATGAGAGGGCACTTCTAAATTGAATTTTAATTAATAAAACCATTTTAATCATCGTTATTCTATATACTTTTTAATTTTCCTTTAGTCTAATTAAAAGGCTCTTTATTATTCATCTTAATGTTTAAATATAGAACTACATAAAGGTTTAATTTTAAAAGATTTTCATTTTATTACCAAACTTATTATAGTATGTACTTAAAAGAGTGTCTAATTTAATTAGTTGTTTAATAAATTTTATTCAAAACTTAATTCAATAAAGAAGTTTGTTTTTGTAAATTACTGTTTTCATTAGTGATTCTTAATAGTTAAGAATCAATATTAGGATTGTATAATATAAGCTGTTAATCATTTATTCTATCAAGCATAAGAAAAAGGTTAGATCCATAAAATTTATTCAATTTATCAAATAGCCTTTCATTTTGAAAAGTACTAATGCTTTAATACGAATTGTCTATTAACTTTCAATTTACATTAAAAAAGCGTTATTTGCATCTGGTGATATTTTCACCACAAAAGATGAAGTTTTTACATTCCATCAAAAAAGTATTTAATAAAATCAATAATAATAATAAAATATGACAATGATAAATATTATTTGAGTTATTGAATAGTTTTTGATGCATAATTTTTAATTATTTGAATAATTAATTGATAGCTATTAAGTATTATTAATTAAATAACTGTTAGAGTTAAAGGAAATCATTTATGATTAATTTAATTATCAATTTTAGCACAATAAATTAAATTGGCTGTCTAATATTGATGTGATTTCTATCATAAATTTAAGGTAATTGAGAGGGAAAGATAATTAATTAATTATTTTATTTTTTTAGATCTCAAAATCGAAAAACAATTTATTTCAGTTGATCTCAAGTATTAATTAAGGGTTAAAAATAATTAATTTGAAGTTAAAATTTTTTATCAAACAACACCTTTATATTGGCACACTGTTTCTGTTATTTACAAGTAGCAGTCATCTTGAGTTAATATACTCTAAACCTCTGTTTTAATAATATCATTAGAAATACTAAATTAATGAAATAGGGAAATGGGTTTGTAGTTATAACGTAGCAGTAGAGTCAGAAGAAATTAGAAGAAAAAAACCAGAAAGTAGTAGAAAGACAGGGTTTGGGTTTGGGTTTGGGTAAAATATATGCACGTTTTCATTATAAAGAATTAGAAATTTTAGCAGACAATCGAATTAAGAAAAATTTATCTCAATAAATTTAGCTTACCATTTATTATGCATTATAGAAAATGAAATAAGGTGGGTTTTTAGATGTTAATTTTATTAAACAATGTCCTTATTGTGGAGAAATTTGGATAAAGCCAAATAAATTTGAGGGTTTAATATTTTGTGGATCATCAAAGTCTAAAGAAATTTATCTTCAATAAAAATTGTAAATAAAAATGTTAGGCTGCGGGAAGTAATTGTAATGGAATGATATGAAATCTTTACCATTATCCTTTTTGATTAATGAATCTAATATAGAATCTTTTAATTATTTATCTGCTGTTTTATCATAAGAGGAGGAAGATAAATATATTAAAGCAGCTAAGAAAATTGAAACTTTAATAAAAGAGAAAAAAATTATAATAATTTCATTTTGCTATCATTTTAATATATTATAATTGAAATATGTTAAATAA